AATAAAAAAAAAAAAAAAAAAAAAAAAAAGGAAAAAAAAAGATAATTTAAGAAAATCCGAACTACTATAACGAGAAAGGCCAAAGCCGCCTCTGTCTCTTTTGAAGCAAGAGGAGATGATAATATCATAATAATGATATCCTTTTCTTTTCTTTTTTTTGAGAGAGAGAGAGAGAATTCCACCTTTGTCTACTAGCTGGGGTAATATGAGCATCCTCCCATGGTAGGGCCTTCTGCTGGCCGCTCCATTTATTGATGGGAAGCTTCACCCTGCTGGAAAACGGGTCCAGCGTCCCATTTGAACAGAAATGGAACATGGTCTAAACTCCATAGAGCTGAGACTGATTTAGTATCTGACAGTATCTTTCTCCAGACATTGCCCGTACCTCTTCACCCTGTTGCTGGGCGCCAGATCAGATCTACTTATTCCTGGTACTGTGCATTCTACAATCTAGCATGAAACCTTGTCCATCCCTGGGCCTATGCATTACCCTGCATTCTATCCCTAAACCGTAAACCCTGCGCATCCAAGTTTCCATCTGAGACCGATTGAGTATCTGAGAGGATTCTACTCCAGGCATTGCCAGTACCTCGTCACCTTGTCGCTGGGCGCCGGATCAGATCTACCTATTCCTGGTACTGTGCATTCTACAATCTAGCATGAAACCTTGTCCATCCCTGGGCCTACGCATTACCCTGCATTCTATCCCTAAAACGTAAACCCTGCGCATCCAAGTTTCCATCTGAGACCGATTGAGTATCTGAGAGGATTCTACTCCAGGCATTGCCAGTACCTCGTCGCCCTGTTGCTGGGCGCCGGATCGGATCTACCTATTCCTGGTACTGTGCATTCCACAGTCTAGCATGAAACCTTGTCTGTCCCTGGGCCTGCGCATTACCCTGCATTCTATCCCTAAACCCTAAACCCTGCACGACAAAGTTTCCATCTGAGACTGATTTAGTATCTGACAATATCTTTCTCCGGACATTGCCAGTACCTCGTCACCCTGTTGCTGGGCGCCGGATCAGATCTACCTATTCCTGGTACTGTGCATTCCACAGTCTAGCATGAAACCTTGTCTGTCCCTGGGCCTGCGCATTACCCTGAATTCTATCCCTAAACCCTAAACCCTAAACCCTGCACGACAAAGTTTCCATCTGTTTATTGCCACCTTGGTGTAAGAACTACGGCCCCTAAACCTGCGCAGCCAAATTTCCATCTGAGACTGATTCAGTATCTGACAGTTTCTTTCTCCAGACATTGCCAGTACCTCTTCACCCTGTTGTTGGGCGCCAGATCAGATCTACCTATTCCTGGTACTGTGTGTTCTACAGTCTAGCATGAAACCTTGTCAATCCCTGGGCCTGCAAATTACCCTGCATTCTATCCCTGAACCCTACGCATCCAAGTTTCCATGATCCTACTCCAAGCATTGCCAGTACCTCGTCACCCTGTTGCTGGGCGCCGGATCGGATCTTCCTATTCCTGGTACTGTGCATTCTACAGTCTATGAAACCTTGTCTGTCCCTGGGCCGGCGCATTACCCTGCATTCTATCCCTAAACCCTAAACCCTGCACGGCCAAGTTTCCATCTGAGACTGATTTAGTATCTGACAATATCTTTCTCCAGACATTGTCAGTACCTCGTCACCCTGTTGCAGGGCGCCGGATCAGATCTACCTGTTCCTGGTACTGTGCATTCTACAGTCTAGCATGAAACCTTGTCCGTCCCTGGGCCTGCTCATTACCCTGCATTCTATCCCTAA